CTAAAACAATAGATTCAGTTATGGACATATCGTATGGATTGTGTTATGTGGATGGTATGATATAGACATAAAACATGTCTAGTGTGTTTTTGATTTTTGTTTTTGGTGGTAAAAAGGCAATGAAGATTGTAATTATAGGAGTTATAACAAAACAAGAAATTTATTGAACGATGAATTGTGGACGATGCAAAATGTTTATCCACTCCACACGAATATGTCCATATAGATATGTAGAGGCAATGTAGATGATAATTATGAGAGTCATAACAAAACAAAAATTCATTGAATGATGAGTTGTAGACGATGCAAAATGTTTATTCACATTGATATATCAATGAAAAAATGTCCATGCGAACATGTCCATGTGGCCATGTGGGTATGTCCACGTAAAATTTATCCATGTGGATATATCCATTCCATAATTTATTTTGTGAATAGATATTTAATTATATTTTTCTGATTTTTTTTATTGTATTTGTTTGAAAAAAAATGGTTTGACACATAAAATAGTATAGTAAGATGAATCTTAAAATAATGAGTCTTAAATTGTTTCACACATAAACTTTTCCGTATCCTCAATCGTTATTGTCAGTTTAATCATTGACGTATTTTGATTAGACTAGAACATTATGTATCCCCGAGATCCAAGACGAATTAGGGAAGTCTGAAGTGAAAACTTAACAGGATCTAGTAATGTTTGTTTAGTGTCATGAAAGGACCACGGGGAAGGCGGGAGATGGAACAGAATTGCATGACGGAGGAGAGCACAAAAAGGAAAAGGGCCAACGAATGATGCCGCAATAAGGGCCAAAAGAGCGTGCAATACAGCCTATGATTGGCGCCCCTTTGCGGACCGTAACCTGTTTGTTTATAGTAAGCCTTGTGGTGGACGGCTCTGCCTTAGAGAACCGGAAATCTCTAAGGTATCAGTCATAAAGTATTACTAGATAAGTGGAACGTCACCTCCTCTTGGAACAATCTATTGGGTCAGACATTGTATCCTCCATTAAGCAGGAAACACTGTTCAAATTTCTCTCCATAAGACAATCGGAATATGCATTGGACTGATTTGATTGCCTATATCTTATACAAACCCACTAGATTGGCATTTCATGCGTTATGTTTATACGTGTCAAGTGACAATGACCATTCACAGAAGACAGAAGAAAAGCAGAGGTTCAGCGAAGATCATACCGCGTCTGAGCCACTGAACCTAACTCATACGATGAAGGTGAGAAGTACCCAACAATGAACGGTCTCGCAGCAGGAGGAACATGCCAAGGAAAGTTGGTGAGTCCCTCACAAACGTGATGCAAGAACAGGATTTAGACTCACTCAAGTCAGATCCCAGACTGTCCCCTGAACCCAACGACCCATGGACCGATCCGGTATACTAACCCGGGTCAGGTAAAATCTTATGAATACTTAACCCTTTCCAACAAGAAAGGAGTTCAATTCTTTCGCAATCTTAAGGCTCATGCTATCTCTCTAAATACTTGTGAACTTTAAGCTGGACTACTCTCTGTTTTTCGGTCATTACTCCGATCAACTCAATACTTCGCCCTCATTCCCACTCCATGGTGGCTCCTAAACTGTGGATTTTTTTCACCCTTAAACTCTTACATTTCTTCTCTTCTCCACCCAAAAAGTCCACTATACTCAGGCCCAAATGGATTCTACCTTTCTCAAGAGCTTCCGGCCTGCTTTTCTTTTTTCCTTTTCTGATATCTTTTATCTCTTCGATTTTTCATTTCGTGGTCATTTTATTACTGTTTTCTGACTTGAACGTCAAAAAGCTATCAGAAAACTCTTCCATCATGTTTTCCAGGCATTCACATGTTTGCGAGTTTTGCAAGAAATTTTCCCCCAAAAAGACTGAAAATTCCTTGAACAATGTTTATGATTTTTTTTTTACAAAAAAACGTGATCAAACCAAGATTATATGAAGAATATAATGAATAAAATAACTAATTTATACTATTATTTGTGAAGCCATAAATACTATGTCTGGTCTCCACATCGATTCGCTTACGTGACATTTCTATACTATTATTTGCGAAGTCAGAAATCCTATGTGTCGTCTCCACATCGATTCGCTTACGTGTCATTATTAAAAAGAACTATGTGGCATTTTAATTAGTTCTGATAGGACAATCATTAATCTTACGTGTCAATATATGTGATATGGCTTTTTCATCGATTATGGGCCATCAAGTTGATTAATGGGCCAGCGGTTTAGTTAATGGTTCACCGATCTTGAAATTTGTCCTAGCCACCGATGTAGAAATTGATACTAATATAAACCTTAGTGTATCCATCGTGATATCGGTTTTCATATTTCCTTATATATAACATCCGTCTACTAAGTTTAAGCATTTTTAAAACAAAAATTTCTTCACCTCTTTTTAAACAATAAACGATCATAGCAATTTAAAAAAAAAATCGTCCATGTCTTTTTTAAAAGTAAACAACTTCTACTATTATTTATGAATATTCTTAATGACAACGTAACCTACTTATAATTGATACTTTTCTGGTTTTGTAATTCATCTCTCGCCTTATAATAGAATCACTAGGTAAAGATGAAGAAAAAACCAGAAGAAGATAAGTTTGACGAAGACCAAAGAGGAATAAGAAGTAAAGAATAAAGAAGGCTAATAAAAATTAAAAAAAAAGAAGAATAAGAAGAAGAAAAAAAACTGAGAGAATACAAAGATGATGAAGAAGAAGTCAAAAATGATGATGAAGATGAAAGAAAAGGGTGAGAACTAAGAAAATCGAAAGATATATAAGAGAAAGAAGAAAAATTACAAGTCAAAGCGATGAAGAAGAAAAAAAAATATGAGGAAGAAGAAGATGAAGAATTTAGGATAGAAAAATAAAAATGCCTTTAAATTAGAGAATGAAGAAGAAGATGGATAAAACCAAAGAAAATTAAACGAATAAGAAAAATACAAAGAAAAACTAAACCAAAAGATAAAGAGTAGAAAGAAGAGTACAACAAAAATAGAAAAGCAAGAAGAAGGAGACAAAACTGAAGAGGGAATTGAAATAAAAGTACAAGACGATGAAGAAGAGGAAAGAAAACATAAGGAATAAAAAAATTGAAATCGATGATAAAGAAAAAAAAAACGAAGAAGAATACCAAAAAAAACAAAAATAAAAATCATAATAAGAAAAATTATGAAAAGACGAAAATGTTTAAAAAATAAGAATGGGAGAGGATGCTGAATTTGGAGAAAGAGAGAGAGATAAAGAGCAATTAAGTTAATGCTTTCAAGGACATGTAGATGGAGAGAGAGACAGTGAGTGAGAGAAATAGAGAGAGAGAGAATAAGAGTTAGTTCGTCTTTTTTGTGTTCCTATTTTTTTATATCTGAAACATTTCTTACTTAAAATGTAGTTGTCTAAATAATATAATATATACAACTTAGGACGAGGGAGAAAGGGAGAGAGTGATAGAGATATACTGAAACATATGGAGGGAGAGAGAGAGAGAGAATGATAGGGAGGGATGCATGAAGGGGAGAGAGGGAGTTAAAGTTTTCAGATATATGTATTTGATTGATATAAAAGACGAAGAAAAACAAAAAGAATATAAAGTCATTGAGAACAAAGAAGACGAAGAAGAAGAAGAAGTAGAAGAGGAAGAAGATGATGATAAGATTTGGAAAACACGATGAAGAAGATGACGTGATTAGAAAAACACTAAAGAAGAAGAAGTAAGAAAAGACATAGAATGAAGAAAAATTAAAAGAAAATGAAAGGAAACTAAGAATATGTGAGAGAAAAAAGAGAGATAAAGGTGGAAGACTATGAAGAAAGATAAAGAAAAGAAGATATTAACGAAAAACCAAAAGATAAGAAGAAAAAAAATGATGAAAAGCGATTATGTGGAAACAAAGAACTTGTTTTCTTAGTTCAATAGGTTTTGTGAATTCATACACTTATTTGGTAAGCATTTAAATCTTTAATTTTGGATAAGATTTATTTTTTTGGATTTGTTTTATTTTATCATTTATGTCTTAAGTAGGTGTTTTAATTTTCTTAAAGACCAGTTTATAATATAACATCAAATTATGTCGTACGTTTTTAAAGCCCTTATGCCAACACCTTGCGCATAACTGGTGAGTATATTAGTCAAAATGTCTTGATTCCACGAATGTTTATTTTCTTCATCAGGACAAGGTTTCCTTTTAGAATGAGGCGTAGAGAATTCTTTATAGTCATCGCCTATGCAATTACTATCAATAAAAGCCAAGAACAAACTTTGCAAAAAGTTGGACTGTATTTATCAAAATTTATATTTTTCTATGGACAATTTTATGTGGCTATATCATTTGTCACTTTGAAAGCTGGTTTGAAGATTCTGATAACAGATACCATAGATATACCACAAACCAATACTTTGACCATTTTATACAAGACCGTCTTTCAGAATGTAAGAAAATGATAATTTATTTTATTTATTTTGTTTTAAACTTTGACTAATTAAATGGTTTATTTTAATGATACTTTGGTTTATTTATGCATCAGAATTGATACTCTTACTCTTTTTTTCCATTAATGGTTATCTTGATTGTCGAGAATCGATACTTTTATTAAACATAAAAGAAATAGAGTGCAAAATCATAATAATGTTTAAAAATATATAATGAAACAAACTGCAACTTAAAAATCTACAGTATTGAATACACCAACAAATATTTATGTACATAACGATAATGGTCATAGTTTACAAAATGATGTTAAAACACATCGGCATAACATCTTACATCGACATAACATCTTACAGTCAATGCAATGGTTAAACTCTAATAGTTTTTCTCAATTAATATATAGGGGATTTAAGCAAATCTCAATTCTCTACCTTTTTCTTGGTACTATATTACCATCAAGACTTAAATCCAACGGAAAAACAAAATTTAACAGGTAAGAAACGTTTTTTTGGTAGACTCATCAATGAGTTCCATAGTAAACGAGACTATTATAGTCCGGCAAATACATTTAACGATAAAGTTAATTATAATTATCAGCGATTTTAGATAACAGTAGTAGCTCAAGATTATCAAATAAAAAAAATCTCCATGCCTATTTGCAAAGACAAACTAAACTACCTCTTCTCATTCTTTGGGATCTTTTTAAACACCAAAGAATCAAACACGAAGAACCTACCTTCAGATATATTGGTTAAAAGTATATAATATAGAACTGAAAAATGGTTAGAGAAAACCAGAAACTTATGAATCAATCTCTGCGACTCTGCAAAGAATCCTCCAAATCAAGATCAACACCAACACGATTCCGAATCGACGCGTTTGCGTGGCAAGAACCAGACCAAGAAGAAGAAGAGCAAGAATTCATCTTCCACTTCCTCTCAAGCTCCTTAAACCTCTCAGCATCAAACTTACGGCTCTTGAGCAACTTCCTCTGCCTAGAAAGAAACAACCTCTTCATGAAATCTTGATACGTTGGGTCTCTCGAAGTGAACAAGAAATAAGCATAACCAACGATAATCCCAGTCGCTGTAGTGAAAAACGTGATCGGTTCCATTACATCCCATGAAAACTCCCAGAAAGTTAGTCTGAAGAAAAGCCCGATTTGTACCACAGAGTAACCAAGACCACACCATAGAATCTTCCTCACTTGCTTATGAGCTAAAACATCAATTTCTTCCTTCATACACCTAAGCTTATCGAATTCGTCTCTGATTGGATCGTCCTCTGTATTCAAACCTAAAGGCACTGCCTTTCTAATCAAATCCACCACCTGCAAAAAAATTCACAAAACAAGAACCAATTTTTAGATCAAATTAGGGTTTTCAAAAGAGGGGTTTTAAGTTTTTTTTTTTACAGGACCTTATCTGGATGAAGATAGACTTTATCCCGGAAAATCAAAATCACACCAGCATCATCAAGGACACGAGCGAAAGCATGAGCTTCCTCGAGAGATCTAGCGATACCTAAATCTTGAGATGCTTCAACGAGTGTATTGTAAGAGACGATATCTTTATCCGCCATACCAACTAGCTTCTTCTTCATCTCGTCAACATTCACTAACCTCATCAGCTTCTTCGCCTCCGTTACAGTTATCTCTTCCTCCTCCTCCTTCTTCTTCGCCGTTTTCACCGTTGGTTCGACGAAGAGACACCTGCAACCACCACCACCGAGAAATGGCCTAACCGGAGAAACTTTACCAACGGTGGAAAACGCCGTACGTCTAACCAAACCCATCACCGACCACATATCTTCTTCGATGGACCCAATCAGATCTGGCTTTTTTGTGGGCTCAAAGAAAAAAGGATTAAAAGCTAAGAAAACGAAAGTGAAGAGAAAGAGAAAAGGAAAAAAAGTGTCAGATTCGATTCTGACGCAGTGTGTAATGGCGCTCCACCAAGAATGTGGATGGTCAAAAATAGTAATGTATTTACAAAAAAGGAGGAAAGACGCAGTGTTAATGCTTACTTTCTGGAATTAGAAAAGTTTGGTCGACATTGTTGACTAGCCATGGCTTTTCGAAATCCCTAAATCCATTTTTTCGTTTTGTTGTGTGTTTTTATTTCTCTTTAAAGGAGAGGTTCGAGAAGGCGCCACTTAGGGATGGGAAAAAATCGAGATAATGTAAAGATGATTTGGGTCGGTTTAGGTAAACCGAAGAAAATTGCTCGAACGACTTTGGTTTTGCCTAAGGTTATTTCCTTTTTCTTCTTTAACGTTTGATGATTAGGCTCAGTTAGAAATGTAAAATCTCTTAAAATTCTCTAAATATACAGTACTCCGATTTGAAAGAAAATGGAAAATTAAAGATTTGCCGATTTTTTAAAACTAAACGAAGAAATTGGGGAAAATGGTCAAAATCTAATTGAACTAAATTTTGTGGGCCGAAAAAAATTTGGACTATAATACGGTATCAAAACCTAGCTAAAGTCTAAAAAAATTTGAATTATCTATCTGAACTTATAAAAATGTGCTAAAATCTATATTGACCATCTCACCGTTAGTCAACGCTCAAAGAATAATGAGGTGGCCGACATGTTACTGTTCCGATGTGACAATAATACCAAACGTCGTCGTTTTAACTATTTTTGAACCAAAAATCATTAAATCAAATCGAAGTCGTTTTAATTTAAGAAAAAAATTCCCAAATCGATTTAGAAATCAATTTAGGGTTTATCATGTCTTCTTCAAGAACAATGTCTTCTCCGAGATCTGGGCTTGCTCTTCCCAGAACCACCACCGTTTGATCTTCTCTTGCCACCACCTCTCATAATTTATAACCCAATGCCAGAAAACCCTAAATTGGGGAAGACGATGAATAATCGAAACGAAAAAATCAGATCTTTTTATTAGGGGTCACTTGCCATCTCTCTTGTTCTTCCCAAAACTGCTGGGCCACGTAGACAAAAAATAATGGGTTTCGTGTCGTTTTGCTTCCTCTAGTGGAGGAATCAACTGTTGGATATTCAGAAAATGTGACCCATTCTAAATTGAACCCTATTTTTCATATCCTATACTATAGTTGGACAAACCCAGGATATTACAAGCTCTGGTACCAAATAAAAGCTGTTTTTTATTGTCCAGAAATCGCCGGAGAAGATAAACCAACACAATAGAGCAGCTCCTCTTTTGAATCTTACAACCAGTTTCAGATCTGTAATTTATCTCATAGCCAATTGAGACCGAGCATCTGTCTTTTTATTGTTTGATTTCGATTTTAAGCTTATTGACTTGGGTAAGCTCTGGGTGATCATGAGCATCTGTCTTTTTATTGATTCGATTATTGCTTCGCATTGTTGCTCTCTTCATTGAATTGTTTTTAAAGAAGATAATGATAAATCCTAAATTGATTTCAAATAAAAACCGTAAATTAATTTCTAAATAGATTTGAGAATTTTTTTTTTCTTAAATTAAAACGGTTGTTTTGATTAAATGATTTTTGGCCCAAAAATAGTTAAAACGACAACGTTTTTGATATTATTGCCACATCGGAACAGTGACATGTCGGCCACCTCATTATTCTGTGAGTGTTGGCTAACGTTGGGATGATCAAAATAGATTTTAGCATATTTTTATAAGTTTAGATAGATAATTTAATTTTTTTTAGACTTCGGCTAAGTTTTGGCATCGTATTTTAGTCCAGATTTTTTTTGGCCCACAAAATTTAGTTCAACTAGATTTTGGCCATTTTTCCGAAGAAATTGCTCCATAATTTTTTTTTTACTTTTTAGTCAAAAATGAACTTTGTTTTTGCTTGTTTTTAGGACATCTTAACCTCCGCTCATAATTTTTAACTTTTTAACAATTTTTCCTCTCTGTTCTTACAAAGAGTAAAATTTCTCAATATGTGCATTTGGTTGTTCAGCTCGGTTTGGATTTTTTTGGGTTTAAGAAAATATATGAATGATGTATCCGTTTAATTTGGTACAGTTTTCAATAATTTGATTCGATTTGAATTCGGGATCAGTTTCGTTTTGGACAAAATTGTTAACACAAACAGCTAATTAATTTTAAATATTTTTGGGCTTTTAGTGTATTTAAAATTTAATATATATATTTAACTAAAATTATTATTTAGTTTTTGAATTCCAGTTAATCCGATTAATTCCATTCGGCTAATACATTGAGATCAGATAGTTTAGAATAAGGTGTTGATTGGTTCACCCGCTATCACTCGCAAATGCAGTGTTTGCGATTGGTAGCGGTTAGTGGCGTTTTATCACAATCATAGAAATCATTGCAAACCGCTCCGTATCGTTTTATACCGCTGAAACCCAAAAGCTGCTTCCCACCAGCGTTTGCGGTTGCGAGCGGTAGCGGTTGGGTAAAATAATTTAAAAAAAAATAAAATCATGCTAGAAAAAAAAATTAAAAGATCACTCTAAAAACAATTATAAAACCCTAACCCTACTAATCTTCTCATATATAACCCTAAATCTCTCACTTTTTCTATCAAGTTCTAATCTCTAATCATGACTTTCATATCAGTTGAAAAAAATTAAGATACAAGTAAGTGCCATAATACTTTGGTTTAATTCATTTATATTAATTTTTCTGTTTCCAATTTTAAAGTAAGAAATTATAAATAAGTTAGAAATTTTTCTGTTTCCACTATTATAAAATTTATTAGTTTTAAAATAATTATTTAGTATGTATTTATAATTTTTATTAATTATTTTGAAATAGTGATTTTGATATTTATCATAATAATATAGTTTTTTTGTTTTATTATAATTATATATGATGTTTATTTTGGTAATTTTAGTAATTTTATGTTTAACCGCTAAAACAACTGCTGGTCTGTCAGTCAAAAATGTCTCGCAAACAGACCCGTTTTTAAAAGTTTAACCAGTCGTGCAAATCGCTGAATAACGCTCAAAACCGCAATCGTCTGCTTCCGCAAACTCCCGCACTCGCAACCGCAACCGCTGCGGTTAAACCAGTCAAGCCCTAAATATTTCTATTTTATCTATCTATATACTTATTTGTGTAGTGATTTGCTTACGTGTCGCACTCACAGCAAGTTTCAGAGTCTTTCGCTTACGTGTCAGCTCCAGAATGAGTTTCAACTATAAAAAGACCATTTAGCCCCATTTTACAATTACGTGTTATTTTTTTTATTGGTTCTTATCTGATGATGTGTAAAAAAACTTAAAATAAATCGGTCTAAATTATTATGGTTTAATGCTTTATTTCGCTGTCAAATCAAAATGTTTCTAAAATTTTAGAAAACCAAAATTTAAAAAATAATCTAACCAAAAAGTTAAAAAAAAAAATTTATATCTCTAACTAATTGAATATCACTGAAAAACAGAAATCATCTCTAGCTAATAGAATGTCGTTAATTATGATATATAGGTTAGTGTTTACGATTTTTTATGTTTATAAGATTTTTGATTTCTTCTGATTTAGTATAAATATCAACCATTTTTCTTTAATAAAATCGATATTTATCGATATTTAGTCAAATCTAACAAAAATGTAAATATCAATAAATGAAATGTCTAATGGAATGACAGTATTTGTAATGTCTAGATTAGGGTTTTCGTCTTTAAATATTTTAGTATAAATATGTACGACCTATCTCTAATTTTCTCACACCGTTCTAAATTGTTTAACTCATTCTTTCTTCTTCGAATAAGTTCGTACGATACTTCAAAAAACTATGTCTAAAATACATAGAACAGTGATCAAAAGATCTCAAAACTATTTAAACTAAATTAATTGAATATTAATATATTTTTATCTACTCTCTTTTATACTGTTTTTATGGCCATGTCTTCAAACATTAAAATATAAATAAATCGACAAACAAATATAACAATAGAAAATAAATAATAAATGAATCTAAATTACTATTCAATTTTCAAACAATCAAATAGAAAATTATATTAGCTCACGCAAGGCATGGATAAATTCACTAGTTCAGATTATTTTATGATTCAGTTCAGGTGTGGAAATTTTGTTTTGGTTCAGAATTTTGCCCACCCGTATCTCAACCTTCAAAGAGGCCAGAGATTAAGGCCTGATTAGTAATGCTTTTCTAAAGCATTATGTTTCTAATCATTCAATCAATTTTTGTTAATAGGACATTTAGGAAAGCATTTAGAAGATGTAAATGCTCTCTTAAATGTTCATTCTTCTAAGTTCTCACATGAAGCTTTTCTAAAATATTAGGCTTTTACATTTTTAACACTAATATTTACCATTATTTAAAATATTATAATTGTTGCAAATAAATTCAATCCTTATGAATCACGTGTTTGTATGTGGCATTCATGGCTTTTTGTAGGTACAGCCCTCTAAGCCAAATTAGGTTTTATATTGGGCTTACAGCCCAATACGACCTAAGCATATAGCAGCGGACCTCAAATCTTTCGGATTCAGGAAATCCGGCACGAAAGACTACGCTGTCAGGGACAAAAAGGGTCAAGAACTGAGTGGTCAGAAGGAGGAGAGGTTGTCTTCTCTATGTCCTAGACCTAAGCTCAGTGATCTGGAAGGGTCGGGACATAAGGAAGTGCAACCCACACAGGTACCAGAAAGAAGAAACCAGCCAGCGAGACAATCTTAACAGTCCGGTCCTAGTATCAAAGGATCTGGGCTAGGTAGCAGAAAATACTATTTACATTTTTCCTCCATTCGACAATCCAAATGTGAATTTGGTTAATTTGATTGCCTATATCCTTTGTAGACCCACGAGGTTGGCATTTAATGCTCAATGCTTACATGTGACTGGTGATAGTGACCACTCGTAGAAGACATGAGAAAATCAGATGTTCTGACCATACCACGTCTGAACTGCAGAGTTTAAAAGGGAAGCGCCAATGAATGGTCTCACAGCAGGAGGAATATGCCAAGAAAAGGTTGTGAGACCGTCTGAAGCATGACGCAAGCAAAAGATTCGGGTCTAATCAAGTCAGGTTCCAGACCGATCCGCAAAACCAACAACCCAAGGTCCAACCCGTTATATAAACATGGGTCTGGTAAAACTCTAGAAATACTTAATTTTTTCCGACGAGAAAGAGGTTCTATTC